GAGTGAATGTCTGGAGGTGTAGGAACCTCGGAATGATTGTGGTAAGCTACCACTAAGTCCCTTCCCCGTCCACCTTCACTCTTCTCTTTATAATAAAGCTTTCAAATAAATCATGGTTGTACGGCAGTGAAGCATCGGTGTCATGCTGTCGATGATGATGACCCCAATAGGAGCATCCTATGAGGGGGGGGGCAAATAACTCAAGATGGCTCAATGGTTAAGGCGCGAACCTACCGACAACTGAAAGGTACGTGGTTGGAACCGGACCTCGGCGTTTCGACTGTGCCTGCCTAGGCTTGCGCAACCTGGCAGTGGTTCTTTCGGCATGGCAGCCAAGCACCAGAAGGGTGCTTTAGCTGAACGACTACTAATGTCAAGAGACGTCAAAACGCTCCACTCGCTGAGTCGGCACCCTTTGGAGGGACTATTGTGTATGCGAAACCGGAAAACAGCAGCCCAATAAAAAACATAAGAAAGCAGAATAACCGGAATCGTCGTACCTTCTCGGCAAGCTTTTTCCGCTCTTCAAAACCTAACCCAGACATTTGGTCACGCGTTTTTAACAGCCTGACACACATCCGTTCGAAGGATTCCGCAGTTTCGTCCAAACCAAGCTCGACATCACTTTCTTTGTCCTCCTCTTCCGCTGTCGCTGGGGAATCGGACGGTGATTTGCTGTTAGAGATGCTGTTCTCGTTCGTTTTTGATGCAGATTTGTGATTCAACATTTTCACCCCGGTTGACGTCATAACATCGGTTGTAATTTTCCGACGAGGGTTCACTGCGTCTGAAAAAATGTAGGAGCTGTTAGAATGCAACTTATATAGCGAAACATCCCATATGTTATTTATTAGAAATGTTTTGATAGACAGAGAGGGTACCAAGATGTAATAGAATGGACTTACTGGTTTGGAGATAGTTTTGCCGAGTTGACGGATAAATTGAAAACTGGGAAAACTCGCGATAGTCAGTGAACTTACTGTTGAACAACGTTTCGCTTGGCCTGACGAAGCTTTCGTGTCAAAAGCAAAACGCTGCTCCGTAACTAATCCACCGACTGTTTACCGAACCTTTCTAAAACGATGATGATCTCTCGATCAGTTCCGGACTTTTTCCAAATCATTAACAACATTTTTGTTGCTGAAAATTTGACTGTCTCGAGGGACAAGGAGCGGTATAGGTGGAAAGCCTAAGATAGCTCGGGGACTGAGACACGGGCCACTGACCGGGTAGCTTTTGGTTCAAATTCAGCCCCGTCTTTTCCACTTTCCCTACTTCCCCATGGTTCTTTCGAGATGCATAGCATTGGCACAACGAAAGTATATCTATCATGTTCGAGCATGCTGAACCTCAGCAACCTTGAAGTTTACTTGGATGTTTGACGTTCATACTTGATCGTATGACATTAATTGGCCATCACATCTGACCACAAATAGTGTTTAGGACCAGTGTGAAGCCTGGTGCTGTCCAGCGCTTCAGCAAGGTATTCTAAACCGTAGCACCCTTTCAACGCCTAACTTTCGTGTAGCCTGAGGGAAGGAGAGTCGCAGATTACCCAAGAGTGATCTAATAGCTAGAGCATACTCCGAAATTCTCAGTCAAATACATACATATGCTTGAAACCCTTAGTTATCTCAAGATCATCCTGGCCGGAACCCCGCTCTGGTCTTGACAGCCGTTCATATCGTTCCCATGCAATCCTATTTGATGAAGTGCATCGTTTGTCCAGATTGCTTGGCGGTGGTGTTTCGATTGACGTAGCAACTTTCTATATGTGCACTTGTCTAATTACACGTAAATTAGCGCACTACCACTGTGTGCGTGGTTACCCTCCGGTCTTTCGAGTGACACCATATGCAGTTAGTCATAACCGATTTCTTGCTTTGTTTGATGAGCGGCTAGCCCTCCGCTAACCACATTAGCAGCGGGGTAAAGTTCAAAAAGTTCAACTTAATTACCCGGCTCATCTGAATAGGTTCACACAGTTTGTAGGCAGCTCTCTCCCTCACGAACAATTCTTCTGGAAAGTGAAACATCTACCGATAAGTAACACATTCGCAACAACCAAAACTAATCGTTACTTGATCATGGACGCACCTCACATTGTTGAAGTCCCTAGAACGCTACTGAGGATGCCCGTCCGCCTACAACCTATGCTTCGTATTTGGTTCAACAAAGGTCTACCCACCCGAGCAGTTTATTTTATGTTTGCTTTGACCGCCAACTATGAGTGACCCTAGCCAAGGGCTAAGTCGACTAAACTCACTAGTGCGACGGTGTTTGATAATTCACCCAGTCTTGTCACTTGGAAACTTCCAGTGAATGCATCTCAGCTACACAGGCAGTACACATAGACGCTTGAGATTTCCTCTCTCACCTATTGAGACGGAAGCCACATTTCATAAACATCTCAACGAGGATATTACACATGTGTTAAACCTGATCTTGGAAGATGCAGATACCACAAATTCGTCTTCAGCGGGGCGTGAAGATCCATCTGCGTTCTTTTACAACTCACCACGACGTTGACAAAAGTCAGGAAGAAAATTTGAGGTGCTTGCAATGCCTGAATACAGTTACGCATAGAATAGCCCAGGTATTTCAGCGCAGAGAGCACCAGAACAAAGGTGTGCGCCTATCCAGGTAAAGCACACGGATTGGAGTGTAACGGTGGAGTGTGATTACTGAAAAATTGTTTCCAAGCGGTTACCACAATTCACAGCTACCATGGTTTACCTGTAACACCCTTCCGGTACCTAGCTACTGTGCCAACCGAAGGAAGCACGAGAGTTCGGGTACTCCCAGGTAGCCCAAGCCTATACAGGGGAAGTCGAGAGGCAGAGGTCGGGTTCGAACCAAGGACCTTTCACTTGAGCCATCTCGCCCGTTCACAGCTATGTTATGTCAGTAACACTGTCATTTATCAGACAGATCCTATGGGGAATGTCAATCAACATGTGGCGTTTCAAAGTTGGCGTAAATTCTCCCCAGAATTGAGAGCTACGATCCCAATTTCGAACAGGCTGACGGTGGAATGGAATTTGTTTCAGATGACAGAGAAGGACCTCCGTAAGAAAAGCGTCAGAAAGAGGAGTCTTGACGAAAGAGCCAAACAAGTGAAGAATATACGGTTAGAGAACGGGAACTGTGGGACCAAAGTAAACGTCCCTCTGGCTTACCGAGGAGTTCCATGTTGGGCCACATGTGGGCTTCTAGAGCTGATTTGAGTCGGTGGACGCCAAACTCCTCCCCTACAAATCAAGAGATGCAAGTGCCTTCTGGTCAAAATGGTGCATCAGTCAATGTAAAAAAATACCGAACTTATTTGGAACATGGAGGTGTAATGACGTCATAAATATACCGGGACCAGAGGAAGAATAATGTCACAAGATGAATGGAACTCCCATTTGAGGGGTGGTTACCCGAGGAGGCCGTTAACACGTGACCATGTGGTGTGGACTCCGTGACAGAAGAATGATTGGCGCTATATGCTGTCTGAATGAGGCTTTATCACACTGTTGTTCAGCCGACCGTGACCGAACAGCTGAGTGCTCAATCAATCCGGAAGGACGCGGGCTCGAAACTCTCTGGGTTTAATGAGATACGCACTACTGATAATTCCAAATAAGATGGAATAGCTGTACAGTACTTCCGAAACTACCATCATAGAGTAGGCCTCACTGACAGGATGAAATATCAATTGAAAATAGATCTATACATCAGACGTGTTTCCTTTTATTTCAGATTAACCACAGGTCATAGATGAGAAAGAAACGCTAGGAAACCGTTCGCGTTCTCAAACTCTTCCCTCCGCAAAGACAAGAACTCCAGTACACACCTGTAACCAACCCCTTTTCCAGTATTCTAACAATATTCCCCCAAATGTTTAGGATGAAAACGATCAAATGCGTTTATAACCAAAAGTGAATGGACCGGACAATGCTGGCTAAACGAAACAACGCCATACTCATTCACAGTCTCTTCGTCCTAATACGCATCCCACAGCTCTCCCGAACAAAAAAGTGCGATCGAAGGGAGTAAAACCAGTCAATCTCAAACGGAATGAATAGTAGGTAGTGAACGCAACTCGTAATGTGCGTGCAGCTGAGCTACTAGCAATTAGTTAGTAGCATAGAGTCGTAACCACTACGTCTACTTCGACATTCGCACCATCAACCTTGACACAACACTGCGCATCACGTTGAGGAGAAATCTTTGACAGCCTAATGTTGGTTTCGCTGCTATCAGGATTCGTCAACTAGGTGTAGTTTCAGAGTTTTCGTCAACCTTGATTCTCATATGAACCCCAAATTCTATATTGGTGTGAACAAGCTTGCCACATAGCGTTATTAATGGGAATTCATTTGTTGGTGGCGCCGAGCCCCTTATCAGTTCAGAAAGAATTTTTCTTAGTTCTCCCCCATTTTTGCATGACAACCACTCTGCGATAAATATAGAAGGCTAAATTCTGTTAAACTCAAAGTGATCAAGACCTAACCACCCGAACAAAGCAGTTTCCCCGCGATTTCTAAGATTGAGAGATACACAAGCTATCACGTTCCAGATAGGACCCTTGAAGGATCTCCAGTAAGGCTTATTGAAAAGACCATCTAACGTATTCGAAAAATACACTCATTTGCAAATCTTGGGGCTCATTAGGTAGGCGCAGTCCCCGAGTCGTGGGCTGTCGAAGAGTTTTCAGCAATCTTGTTAGTAGTTTCCTTTATGAAAAAACCACCTAACGTACTTTTTAACTTGGTGAGTTCGATTTCTAACTGTCTGACAGTCCCCAAATCGTCAAGCTGCAACACACCTTCGATGAAACCTCAAAGGATGCAAGAGAGCAGGATGTCAAGAGTTCCGAAGAGTTTCAGCAAACTTGTTAGTAGTTTCCTTTATGAAAAAACCACCTAACGTACTTTTTAACTTGGTGAGTTCGTTTTCTAACTGTCTGACAGTCCCCAAATCGTAAACCTGCAACACATCTTCGATGAAACCTCAAAGGATGCAAGAGATCAGGATGTCAAGAGTTCTCAATAGAGTTGATGCCTCAACGTTTCAAAAGACATTGAATGAGACAAGACGAGTGTATTCCTGGATATGATCTTATCCACAAAGCTATTGCCATCTACCGGTCGGGCACTAAGACGATCCAAACTCTTCGGAATACCGAGACGAGACTGGACCAGACGTCACCTTGATATGACGGATATAAGGCGCAAACACTCCAAGCACTTGAACCGACTACCGAGCGTCGGATGGACTGAAGTGCACAGACCGTCTCAAAGAGAGATGAAACTGTCCCCGGACCTTCTTCTGAAGAAATGCGGCCAGCGAACATGAGATTGCGGAAAAGCGAGGCGGCTGGAGAACCTTTTAATTACAGTGATTTGACTTCACAGAATGCAGTTTCTCAACTGAACAACATGATCTGACAAGAGAAAGTTCCGCCATAACTCGAAGGTGTTCTAATAACTCGATTCCACAAGGAAAAGGAAACAAGACTGCACCCGACAAGTACAGAGACATCGGTGTGCTCCGCTGCACGGGTAAGTTCCTGGTATAAGTATTACTCAACCATGTGACAGTTGAAGTGGTCGAAACACAAGTACCCCCCCCCCGTAAACATCGCCAGCTGCTCAAACCTCAAGGAGGCCCTCGATTCGTCCAACCGAAAGTATTTCGTCATCCGAAGCCTACATGATAGAATAGGAAAGAATGTGTAAACAAACAGATTGAAATCAGATTATTTCAAAATCCCTTTTGGCGTAAAATACAGCTGAGCCATTGGTCTCGTTCTCCTCAATCTCTACCTGACGGTTGGCGTGGATGTGGTTTCCGTGAAAGATGATTCTGGCATATAGTTCCAGTATCGGCTTGATGGACACCTGCACCACCAGGCTAAGATCCGTATTCTCACATGTTTGCGGACGAATATGTATTGTCCGAACACATACACGATGAACTGTAGAACCTGAACGAAAAGTTTGTGACTGATACTGTACAATTCGGTCTGGGCATCAAAAGAACATCTTCGTCCTGCGTTCACAACATATGACCAAACTACCACAGCTTTTGGTAACGGATACATTGAAGTCCTTGTTTTACAACTGAACACTCGTTTTCTGAATGCCTCGTTATGGACTAGCTAGCACCAACCTGCACAAACTACGATCAGTTCTTCTGATCACAGCTACACAAGAAAACAGACCGTACTGTGGCCTGATACATAAGTCAATAGTCAGGGATGTGCCGCCTATCTCCTATACATGTCTCAAATCAGCAAAGGCGACGCGAACCTTACAGATTCATGCATTGATCCCATCAGTTACACTACAATCGGGACCTATGCAACTTCCAAGATAGGTGAAAACTCCAAAACTTCGAGTGTTTCTCTCTGTATCGTGAATAAGGTGCTCGGTGACTGCATGCCCAAGAGCATGACTTTACATGCTGTGGGTGCAATGTGCATCCCAGAGAACGAAACGACCTTCGTCAGTTCCTTTTCCTCTTCGAGGACGGCAACGATGTCTCGCGACAATGGTTTCATCATCAGCTATCTGAACACCGGAGATTTTAGGGCCTTCTAGAGTTTGCCTTATTGTCTCGTCGATCACGAAACCATATAGGAATGGAGGAAGTGGATACCCTTGTCGGGCGCTACGTTAGCTTATTCGATTCACACATTTCCGGAGCAATCCATCTTGCGCGTTAAAGAGAACAGACAGGTCGAATGCGTTAAACGCGCCTCGGAAATACAGGATTACCAAACTTGCGGGTCCCTTATACGTATGGCACGGTTCTGGCACCTAGCGGATTTGAAGATATAATCAACACAACCCCTACAAGCCGAAATTCAGCTTTCTGCGCTAGCGTCAATGCTTCACCGACCGTCATACTGCGACGTAAGACAGGTGAAGCCGAGAGGTCTCACTACGGTTGTGGTTAATCTGAATGATTACCGCGTCTGGAAAACCATTGCCAACCTGGGACAGTGCTCCTTTCGAAAAAGGAATTAATGAGATCAAACAAGCACTGACTAAGCACTTCACCCCTAACCTTGAACAATGCGGGTGAAAGGTCATCCGGACCGGAAACTCGATGACGCTCAAGAGAATATACGCAGCAGTAAGTCTCCGAGATCATATGGGGCTTCTAGTCCGACTTGGTGGTAGCAGATGACCACGAGAATTATTGCTCAAATTGTACAACTTAGTGGTTAAGGTTACCTTCTTTATTAGATATGATCACGCCAGTTTCATCCTTGATGATTTCGCTCACAGACAGGGACCGGTTGCATGGACCAACCAAAGTAATCTTCGGGCAACCCCTGTATTATCTACCTCTTCCATTTCCATAGCCTATCGTGTCCACCAGGCTCCACGGTCGGTGCGGATGCTCTTGACGTCTGATAATTCGTCGGGTTAAATTATGTCCGAAACTGGCGGGGAACACCTTTCTGATATTCAAACAGAGCCACTGCTGTCCGATACCCGTGGATTAAATTGAGCTGGCTATGCGATGAAATAGGCAAAACTCCCAGTATTGTGCATGCGGCGAATCGTAATCTGACGATCCAGCAGTTGGAATAGTTCAGAGGAGTCCCGCTTACCTTCGAGATCTGTCAGACTATCAGTTCCTAGGCGAGCTGCCCGACTTTCAGGAAGACCCGGGCCAATGCAGGGTCATAATCCACTCCGAAAAGAGCGGGAGTAACTTATCGACCCGCGCCATTGGTGAGTGATGGCGATGAGATGATTTTGGGTCCGTGGTTGGCACGCTGTTGGACATCAGTTATTTTGGAGATCAATACGGCATAAAACCATCTGCAATCAGCACAAAGATGAAACAATCGTTTGCCGCTGTCCATACCTACCAAATCCGATCCAAGTCGAGCGCCAAAATGGGCCTCGGAAGTGCTAATTCTGTCCACTTTTGCGTTTTAATTTCCGACTATCACAACGGTATCTTTCGCAACAGGAAACCCAAGACGTCATAAGAGTTGTCTTTGGTGATATCAGAGCTGTAGTCCATCGGGACGTAAACAGACATGAAAAGCAGACAACTTCCCGTTTGTGAAATCCCCTCACGGAAGGTGCTAAACGAACCACGCACATAGATTGTCAATGGGTATCAAGCCAAGCCCGATGACTTAGAAAGATACCGGCGTTCGCACCACCTGCCGCATCGGTCCCTGGATCGCTAGAGGTGCGCAACCGTGAAGAAGAGAGTGACTGGGAATTTAGCTCGACAATTGTACTTGGACACAAGAAAAGCGACAAGCTCGCAGCTCCCAACCGTCCTGAACAGTGATGAGGTGTTTAGCACTGAGCGTCATTCAGTTTAGCCGGAAGTGTTGATACCAATACCGAAATGAACATAACTTAGAAAACAAACATGTCAGTGCCTGTTTCGTTAACAGCCTGTAAAAACCTGGATAGCTTCATGCATTAACGTCCTACCTAAAGATCCGCTCTCTAATGCGACCATGCGGACGCACAAGACACCACCAAGAGATACGCTGTTCGTCCCTGAAAACCTGAGCATTTCGCTGATTTAGACATCCCTTGGGGATTCCCTCTTCGGAGGGAATACCCCTTAAAAGAAGCCATATTAATGCCCTTCTTATAAGACCTTTCAAGGTTGAATCAACCTGAAAAGAAATCATTCCCAGTCGATACCATTGGTCGTCTCTCGAAGGAAAGGACAGCCGCACAACAAACTTAGTGCATTTCCTTCAAGGTCGTAGTGGACAGAGAGTAGTGTAGCCACTGGAAAGTCGAAATCTGACCATTCATGTTTTTTGGTGAAATACATTGCGCTCTGGCCGCCAAATCCTGATCATCACACGCCATTTTCAACCTTCATGCTAAAAAATGATCGAACTCGACCGACACACAGCTGACGTGAAAAAAACGGGTGACATGATACCTGCTGAACTAACTTTGTTGGTGTGTCAGATAGGGACTGCGGAGCGTATCATAGCAAGAAAATGGAAGAGACGAACATGTGACCCAGCCACGCACCAGAACTCTGCCCTAACCCATGTGATGGCTCAACATTCTATTATGAACAAGTGGCGTGCGAGAGATTAGTTATTCCGTTGATGTTCCATAAAGGATGGGTACCTGTGGATTATGGATACCTCAAGGGAACGACAAAATTTGCTGCTTATTCTTCCAAGTCCTCACCGAAGAAGGGAGCACTGTGCCAGCGATAAGTGACAAGCAATATTCACTGAAGCCGCACCCCGGCGTGTTCGGTCTTTGCCAATCAGCTTCCCATGGATGATCAAAACCGTGATATGACGAGTCACTTTGTTGGTGTGTAGAACGGAAATGGACTGCATTCAGGTGCAACACATAGATCCTGAGACCATCGATCATGTGCAGAGAATCGCTCGCTTGTGTACGAGCAGTTGTTCTAGCCATGAAGCCAAAGTCAGCAGTCAATCCACTACCCTCGAAGAGATGCCGAATGATGCGTTCCTATGGAGGACCGTTCTGTATATAAATTCGATGAAAACTTCACTAATGGATGAAGAAACCGTTCGGCAGCACTACAGTTACGGCCCATAGCTATCACACCGTTCGAAATAACCACAAAGGTTGAAACAGTACACGGTTATCCAAGCACAGACAGGAACAGTCGGAAGCCATGATTGAATTCGAATCACGAATCTTTGGGTCGGCAAGTTAACTCTTAAGTACTGGGCCATATAAAGGTTACGACAAAGTCATTGATACGATCATGGAAGACTCACTGCCAGCCTCTAATGCCTGTGGGGTCGAAGCGCTTCCGGGGCGTCCGCTCACAGATATAGAGTACGCAGACGACGTAGCTCTTCTGGGGTCTGATCCCGTGATAATGCAAACAATATTAAATAATCCAAATAATTCTGCCTCATGGTTCCGTATGCGCTTCACACTTACAAAGTGTAAAGTGCTACTGCAAGATTGGGTGGGCTCGAACCCTAGCCTCATGCTTGCGGATGAACCAATTGAGGTAGTAGACAAATTTATCTACCTGGGTAGCTGTATCAGTCCCGACGGTCTTGCGAAAGATGATATTTTCATCCGGATTGGGAAGGCCAGAGCAGCTTTGTGAACCTGCGTCACTCGTGGCGTAGGCGTGACATCAGCTTCTCTGTCAAGGGTCGAGTTTACAATGCTGCGGTGGATCAGAAACCTGGCCGCTGTTAGCCGAGGACGTCAAAAGACTTTCAGTGTTTGACCATCGATGTCTTCGGAGCATTGCCCGAATCTGGTGGGAACACCGGATCAGCAATTCTGAAGTTCCTCGAATGGTATTCGGGAGAACTAACGCCCTCGACAGATGAACTGATAACACTGTATAGGTTGCGCTGGCTTGGCCACGTGCTGCATTTGCCAGTCGACCGAATTCCTCGAAGGGCTGTTTTCGCACAACCACGTGAAGGATGGAAGAAAGCCAGAGGCGGTCAAACAATGACTTGGCAGCGAAGTATAAAAGCCATTACTAGTAAACTCAGCCGCGCTGGTTATTGCCGTCTTCCTTGATGGGGACCCCGGGACGGGCCATATTAATGGCTAGAGACAGTCAGACATGACCCAGTCGCGCTCAAAATGGCGCTCGTGCATCCAAGCTATTACCCTCAATGCATAGCTCCCCTCCAATGCGCAGCTACCTACCCCACCTCCCCGAATCATCGATGAACGAAACTGTGGCAGCTACAACCACTGTACGACAAGTACGCTGTTATTACAGCTGACAATGATGACTTAACGAAGTAAACTGATCACGTACCCACCTGAGTAACCCAGACTCACCTTCTTCGATATTGTCTTCCTCCGGTTGTAACTCAATCAACTCAAACTCCCGTTCAATCGCGAACCGATGATAACTTGTCATATCCGCTTTGGCATTTGTGGACAAACTAGCCGGAACTAGCGTACCACAAACAAGTAGACGGAGCGGCAATTTGAACTCATTGGCCGCCTGCATCCAGTTGCATGAGGAATTCCAACTAGAAGCCTGATGTTGAGTAGATAGAGATGAAGATTTAAAGAAAATGTCCTGTTCGTGTGACAAGATTTGTTGTCACAGCCAAACAGCTAGGGTTGAAGTAGGACGACTGAGGAGAATAGCGTAGGGAATCTAGATAAAAAGTAACCATCCAGCTGTAACGCTTTTCCGCCGCCTAGCTGCCATGTCACCCAATCAATCAAAAATTGTTCAGGAAACCTAGCGGAAATGTAACTATCATGCAACTATGAGAAACTTCAAGAAGACACCAGATAAAAACTTGCTTTTCGTCCATCAAAACATATAATGACAGCTTCTGCGCCCTTCAGCTGGGATTGCTTGTGAATCTCTCGCACAATAACATCCGCACGGTAATACTTGCAATGTATTTGTAGCAATACTTCCGAACAAGCACCGCCTTGAATGGTAGATGATGACACTGAATGCCGCAACAAGATCATAGGTTAACAGCAACGCTTACTGTTGGGAAACAGTTCAGTCGGTCTGCAAGTTGTTTCAACATTTACAAGTGCTAGCACAGGGTGGCCCATTGGTAGAAATTCTGCAACAGAAGGTGATAATCTTGAATATGGAATGTAATACAATTAATCTAACAGTGAACATTTTTAGGTATCCGGTATTAGAGGCATGCAAAAGGTCACCAACACGGTAAGAACACTTTTGAGAGACTCGCTAGGCTACTTGGGACCTCTCATGAGAGAAGACTGAAAGCTTCCGAGGGAATCGGTGAACTGAACTCATCTGCCTCATTTGAGCAGAATGTCAAGCACACCAGCTTAAGATGGTTGAGACAAGTGGTATGTACGGTCAGTCACCACGGTCTATCCAATGAGTCAATATTTTCCGTTCCGAGCCGTTGGCGAAAGGACCGCGTGGAAAGGCCATGACGCGTGCAATGAAAACGGGCGGACCAAGAGAGGTGGCCAGAGTGATTACACACCAGAGGACTTGCGTCCGCACGATACAGCAGCTTCGCAATACGGCTTGAGATAAAGTTAAGATCGTTGGGTCGGACAGTCATTACCTTCGGGAATATGTACATTTTAAATGCATCAGGCAGTGAAGCATCGGTGTTGAAAACTGATGTCATGCTGTCGATGATGATGATGAAATGCATCAGGTACTGAAAATTATCATTACGAAGTTTCTATTTCGATAAGTTAACTTTGTACAGGCTGATTCATGCGGGAGTAGGCTTCTTGCAATATAGATATCCATGTTCGAATATACATGCGAGATCTAGCGGTAAACAGACAGGAGGAGAAGACAATCTAAATCCGACATGGCAATCAGCAACCAAATGTTCAGTTGATATCGCTCCTACTGCAGCTCCAAAAACCCGACAGGTGCCTAGGTTAAGGAACTTTGTCAAAAGCCGTCATTCGGGTAGAACATTACTATCAGTGTTGCTGGACGTGCCTTGCTACTTTTTGTACGCACAACGATAAAACAGAACGGATGCTGCATTGGACATATGATAGACTAATTCTGTTTTAGGTACGATCTCACATCATGTTCTATTTGGCCGTCTAGTGGAATGTGGGAGGCGGAATATTCGAACACCACCACCGCCATGAACAGCAAAACAGTGGTTAACTTCGTTGTTGCACAACCATAAGCCTCATGAAGAAAAGAATAAAAGTATATGGGAAAGCGACCTGGTAGTGGCCTACCATAATCATTCTGAGTGGACTACACTCTCAAGCAGTCATTCAGCAAATATGGATAGAAAATGGTAAGGACGCTACCGATAACAATTAGCGGCCATACCTTGTACCGTCCCCAAACATGCGGGACAGGACGCTAACCCCGTCCTGAAAGGTAATTCGCAACCATATTACCCAGACTTTTCGTAATATTTCACATCTCTGTCGGGTCAAAGACCGGCCATCACACTGCTTGCACGACTCCGAACTGGGCACTAAAAACAGCACTCCTCTCGGCAAGCGAGTCTATGGTGCCGGACACATTCTTAGACTGAGGTCCCTGTTGCACGACCGAGCACTGATTTTCTAATTATGCCGTTACGGGTTCACTTGCACCACATTACACGAGCTATGGTCTTGAAACAATGAATGTTGAAAACCTGAAGTCATCTGATTTCGGCTCGAGGTAGCTCAGTGGCACCAACTTAGGAACTGAAAAGTCCGTGGTGTGGGCATCCTGGCAGTATCCCAGCCCACGTACATCCATACCGCCTACAACTAACGATACTCGCATGCCACATCGGCCGTCGCTTCGTGTCACCAGCCGGGTCGCCTTACTTGATGCAGACAACAGGGCGGGTAAGCGAAAACACACTACTGCTGATGCCTCCCGTCTTTCACTTGCATGTTTCCCTCCTACTCTACCCCGCCCCACCTACCCAAATTTGAATTCTCTCCATAGGTACCCGCATTAAAACTGACCGGCTTTTTCACTGTCCAGCCCACAGCTATAGCTTCTGTAGGTCCGAATTCAGCAAAAAACCTACAGTTCGAATTCTGTCCTCAAACCATGTTAGCCTGTCTACTTAGCCGCTTTTTACGTTCGCACACTGAAGCAAACACGGCAACAAGTGACTTTTGCTCGTGCGCTACACTCCATATGCATTGATATATACTGTCTGACAGAAACAAGGATGCAGGACGCAAATACTGTAACTGAACTGACTGCCTCCCCACCGCTTTCTTCCAAGTCCCGACTGCGTGGGTTTGGTGGTGCAGGGGCCATTGCAGCTGGATATGAAGGCATGGGTATTGTATTGAGTGACCAAGCGGAAGTGCCTCTAGTTGATTGAATGCTCCTCGATAGTCGCCTCCGCGCGTTCCGCTTGGCAAAGTCTGTGAGGGAATATCGAGAAAGTGAGGTCCATCGCACTCTGTTTATTGTGTCTGCTTATGCCCCAACTGATCACAGCTCTCATTCTGCCAAGCAGTTTCTATGACGCTCTACGTGCCCTTCTACAGCAGGCTAAAAGCTCAGATATCGTTGTGGTTTCTGGTGATATGAACGCCCAGGTAGGTAGACTAAGCACTTCTAAGGCTCGATTGGGTGGTCATCTTTGATTAGACACGAGACGCAGACCGCGGAGATCGCCTGCTTCAGATGTGTGCCGACCACAGACTGCTCATTTGCATTACCAATCTCCAGAACAGAGGGAATCTTTTGACAACGTCGTGCTCACCTACGAACCAGACCCAGATCCAAATCGAATACATCGCCGTCGGTTATCGATGGCAAGGGCCGATAACCGCTTGCTGCTTCTGCTGGAATATCAGCGTAGACTCCGACTATGCACTTGTTTTCTGCTGTTCTTCGTTGCGCCTCTCAGGTCTACGCGCACATCTAGCTTAGCGATTGAGAAACTGATGGACACAGAAAACAGAAAATATCAAAACAGACTACTCGATCATCAACCGCACGGTCCGACGTCAGATACAAACGGTCAGTGGGAAAAGATATCCAAAGCGATATTCGAAACTGCCACTTCTGTCTGTGATACAACCTAGCCAACCTCAATCAAACATTGGATTTCTGATGGGACCATATTTTTGCTGGAAGCGCGGTCACACGCCCTCTGACAGCAACCATGGCCCCACCCGACGTATCGTCCGACGCCAGGTGAAACTGAGTGTCCGTACAGACTGTAAAGCTTGGCGGGCCCGAAGGGTCGAAGAAATTGGACACGCAAAAAATGCTGGAAACGTCCGCAAGCTGTTCCACTTGACTCCTTTGATTGGTGGTTCGAAGCCTGTTGTCAGCGAGACTATCGGGGACCAGAAGGGCTCCCTGATATCAGGCAAAGCAGAATGCTTGGACCACTGAGCACAGTACTTTGAACAGTAATTCAGTTGGTCACCTCCTACCTCCATTTCGGAATCCTGGACTTCAGCAGAAAGGTGGACTGTGAATATGGAGCCACGTCCAACCGAGTGTATGTCTCTAATCAAGTGTTGTCGTGCTGATCGTCTTGGGAACCTTTCATTTGCTCTGTTCAAGGATGGCGGAGGGTTTCTCAGCCGGTGTCTGTCTAGCCCATTTGTGTCTATCTGGGAAAAGAGACCGTCTCAAACAACTGGGGCGAGTCAGTAGTGGTGCCCACTTTCAAAAAGGGTACTTGCAGTGAATTTAATAACCACAGAGATGCTACTTTGACTCCTTTTGTGAAAAGGCTTCTGACTGATTGTGCGTCATCTCACGGTGATACGCGAAACTTTGACTCATGAGAATCAAACGGGATTTCGATTGAGTAGAGGCTCTGTTGACCATATCTTCACACCGGGTCAGGTATTAGAGCAACGTCACATGTACGGACGATCCACAATCATAATGCTCCTTGACTTCAAGGGTGCGCTAGATTGTCAACCGGTCAGTGCTGTTAGCTAGACTTCCTCAACAGGGTATGTTGTATAAGTTGGTGAACAATCTCCTCCGTCTATTCACAAACTTCTGGGCGTGTGAGACTGTATGGTGAGTTCTCCAAAAGCTTCCCTACAAAAAATGGTGTTCGACAAGGATATCCACCGTCTCCGTTCTTGTTGAACTTCGTGTTGTAACTTGGTATAATAAGAAAAATCGTTCAGCCGTAGCGCCCTTTCGGTGCCTAGCTGCCATGCCACCCAAAGGAAGCACGAAGGCTGGGATACTGTCAGTTTGCCCAGGCCTAGACAGGGGAAGTCGAGTGGCGGAGGTCGGGTTCGAACCACGGACCTTACGGTCAGTAAATTCGCGCTATAAACATTTGAGCCATCTCGCCCCAACTTGGTGGACTGTAGTACAACTCTGTATCGGTCCACTGGCTTCCTGCTCCACCCACTATGGTATGTCAAAAGGCATGGTAGCTCTAGACAGCCCGTTATGGAGATAAAAGAATCATTACATCTGTATTTATAGGGTAATCACAGAGTGTTCCACAAGGTCGTGCAAGAAGCACCGTGAGGGGGCGAGAAGCGCCCAGTCAAGGATGCTCGACCCGGATTGCCTGGCATTCTGGCCAATCAGGGCATGCCTTCGTTTGGTCCGTGTCCTGCACGTGACACATCCATCCAAATGATGTGATGTTCGGTTATTAGGGACGGCTGACCCCCGAACACCTCCCCCTTGAGAAGGCTGTTCAACCGACTTCTGCTTTTGACTCCACTGTGGCGACTCATGGAGGTTCTGTCGCACGTCGGTCCGTCCCTGGGCCTGCCAGCATGCTGATCTGGAATCCGGTACCCTCCACTTGGGAGGTATGTCACGGCTGTCCGGTTTCCAATGCGACGTGGTCCACTCACCAAACCGCAGTCTGCTGCCTGAAGTTGGTTCACTTGACGCGGCTGTGCTGATGTTCTTACGTGTGCCTCGTGTTTGACATAGTCGTCCCTGCGTCCACCGTGGAGAACATTCCCCATATCTTCGAATCAGTGGCTGGTCTCTGTGTGACTGTTGTGGCGTCCCTTCTGCAGGCCCCCTTCCTTGACTTTCCGGATAGCAGTAGGACAATCCGTCTGAACCTACGACTGTAAACTGAACGGTTCGGCCCGCGGGTGAAACTTGGCGGGCTGCTGGCAGGGTTCATCAAATTTGACTGAGTTGAGAGGGCTACCGCTGCCGGACGCCAGAAGCTGAATAGTCGCTGCGTCGCGTATGCTCCATCTGGTCTCCGGTTTGGTTGTAACTGTGGCGACCACAAAATCGTCAGAAGGTGATGTTCTCGTGAACGTATCGGAGCAATTTGCAGTTGTTTCATCACAAACAGCATTGAGGGGTTTATCCAACAGTTGAAGCTCGTTGATCCAATCCAGGCCCAAGAGGTCAAGGCCTGTATAGTTCGTGAGGTAGCAAGTACCATTGAGTTGAACCCCCTTGAACGTTACGGAAAATTTCAGCTTCCCAGTCAGCTTGAGACTTCCACCAGATGCATTACGAACGGTGCATTTTATGGGTTCCACTGGTGGCCTTCCAATTACATTCCGTGTTCGCTTTGAAATCAGAGTGCGGTCAAAACCTGTATCCAGTTGGAGGGTAACTGGTGTGTCATTGATACATAATGTGACGAATTTACGTCGACCGGGTGCCTTCATCCTGAATATGGCGGTCATGGCCTCTGCCTGCCTCCTTTTGTCAGGTCGGTGTTTGCGCGAGCTCCTGAAGTTGTCTTTGCAGCATTCTTCTTTGTGAGCCTTTCGACTGCACTTACTGCACCTGTGGTTCCGGTAGAGACAGTGGCATGAATAGTGCCATTCTTCACACAAAACTAACAGGGTGTGGGCGGTTTTCTTGGAGTTCGTTTTGAATTTGACTTCCTTTTGGGAGTTACTTTGCATACCATATCAGGCTGAGAGAATTTGGAATGTCCGATCATTGCAGCATCAACCTTGAGGTTTATAAGATACTGGTGCTCGGTGGTAAGTTTCTGAAGCGTCAACCGTGGATCCTGTTCAATTCGATTCAGTAGCCGGGTTCGAATATCTGCATCGTGTGGCGATGGGAGACCAGCCACAAAGATGAGACACTTGAATTAATCCTCGGTCACGGAGCTGAGCTGAAAGCGCTCGCATTCTCTGTTGACCACACCGGCATATGTGCTGAAATCCTCAGTATCCCTTTTGGTAATCTTGAGACACTGATAACGAATATTGAACAAGGAACCTTGCTCACCGAATATTTGGGCCAGAATTTTGACAGCATCTGAGAAACCAAGGTCACGAGGGTGTTTGGGGAGTATGAACTTTGTGAACCGATCGTGTTCGGCTGTCCCCAGTTTCCGCAACAAGTCGAACTTTCCATGCATCATTAAACCGAGCAAAGTCGGCTTGAAACATGTCTTCATATTTCTTGAACCAATTTTCGAAAGTTCGTCCAGATTCAGCATCGAAGTTGAATTCAGTAGTCGAGCTGGCAGCAGCGTCTGCGGAAGAAGACGGAGGCTCAAACGTTTTTCTCGCATTCATCGAAATACTGCGCATCAGAGATTCAACAAGCCTCATTTGAGCTTCTTCGAACTGCTTCTGTTGTTGCTGTAAAATTAATTGGAGTTGCTTTGCTGAAATTGACATCGTGGGTTCGGGTTGTCGCCAGTTTTTGTAGCTCGGTGGACGATCGTGCAACCTTGTATCGGTCCCTTGGCTTCCTGCACCACCCACTATGGTATGTCAAAAGGCATGGTAGCTCTAGACAGCCCGTTATGGAGATAAAAGAATCATTACATCTGTATTTATAGGGTAATCACAGAGTGTTCCACAAGGTCGTGCAAGAAGCACCGTGAGGGGGCGAGAAGCGCCCAGTCAAGGATGCTCGACCCGGATTGCCTGGCATTCTGGCCAATCAGGGCATGCCTTCGTTTGGTCCGTGTCCTGCACGTGACACATCCATCCAAATGATGTGATGTTCGGTTATTAGGGACGGCTGGCCTCCGAACACTTCGTCACTGAGGAACTAATGAGGCAAGCGCTGGGAGGTCTTCGAAACCCTGTTGTTCAATTTGTTGCTCGCGGGAACCTTATCGATCTGCGGTGCGCCGCTGACATCACCCCCACCACTGAAGACCATGTACAAGCTCCGTTGCATGGACTGAACATCGTCATACCATCTTTTGGAATGCGCCGAGCACCTTCGGTGTGCAAAGTCATGCCTCAGAATGTGCAGTGTCTTAGCACGCACTTACGGTTCAAGGAGAATCACCGGAGGTTGTGGAGGTTTTACATACATCTGTAGTTGTACTAGCTCCGACGAGTGTTTGATGAAGTCAGTGCACTAATCACGAAAGTCAGAATCACGTTTGCTCATTTTCATCACTCGTAGCACCAAAAAATATATCACTTGATCTTGTGGGCCACATGTATCCGGCTACAGTAAGGTATTGTTGTTGTATGGATGCGAGACGTGGCCTCTGCGGACAGACGATGTGAGACGTCTTCAAGATTTTAACCACCGATGCCTTAGAAGCGTTGCTGTTTTTGAATGGTATCAATGGATTAGTAACGAAGTGATTAGAAAACGGATATTGGTCTGTCCACCAGATAGTCCAATCACAATAAACAACCAGTACCATCGATTCCGATGGCTCGGCCATGTGTTGCGTACGCCAAAACACCGTCTACTGAGACTGGTGTTGTTCCCCGTGCCTCCTTCAGTATGGCAGAGACCACGAGGTGGACAACTCATGACATGGTAGAAGGGTATGAAAGGGATTAAGAGGAGTTTGAATATCGTACGTGCAACACGCCTTCCAGGATGAGGTCCTCGTTATCCCTTCTGCGCTTGGCTGGAGGCATTTGAAGAAATGGTGGCTGATCGGTGTCAATGGCGTTCGTTTCGTCAGTTTCTCTCCAGATTCTGACTAAGCGCTTGGAGGTGTAAGTACCTCAGAATGCTTGAAATATTCCAGCACTATGTCCCTTCCCCCATTCACTCTTTTTCTCTTCTTTTCACTCTAAAGCTTTAAATATAATTACATGAACTTCATGGGTGTGCGGAAGTGAATCATCAGTGTTAACACTGATGTTACTGTCTTTGATGATGATGATGATGATGATGACGATGGTTCAAACCCAACTTCAGCATCTCGACTGCTCCTGTCTAGGCTTGGGCAACCTGGCAGTATCCCAAACGCCGTTCCTCCTTCCGTTGGTGTGGCAGCTAGGCACCGAAAGGGTACCATAACTGAACGATTTCTTCTGATTTCGGCTGTTTGCAGACGCCACTTTTCACAGAAATGCAACAAAACAGCCCGTAATGTAGCTTGATACATACTTAAAGTCCTTGAGATTCGGAGATATACCTGGTTGCCACAATTCGGGTGTCAATTTAGCAAGTGCAATCTAAGCCATAGAGATTCGTGGACTAACCTCACATACCACACTACCATCGGAACCCATACAACACCCATCATACGTAGGACTCTCAAAGAAATCACGTGCGTCTTCTCGAACCCTAAGTGACATGCTCATTGACCGTATACCCAGTAGCACACACTCACACCTTGTGAATCTAAAGTGTATATCAAATGACGATGTGACTTCGATCAATTCACTCCCAAACACCTGAGAACAATATCGTCTGGATATTCCAGATTGGCTTCTTATCAACAACTATTTGAACACCCAGATTGTGAAGGTCTTCTAACGCTTGTCTCAATGACTCGTCGAAAAGGAGACTGAACAGGAATGGACGACGATAGCAGGGAGTTTCAAGCTAAGTGGAAACCCGGGATCAGTTGCACATTGCGCTGCCTTCGAGGCCGGATTTCATGACGTATTACTCGACGCAGAACGACGCTGTCTCCGTAATCTCTTTTGGATATCCGAGTGTCCACCGTATTTTTACGCTCACATGATTGTCTAATTTCCACTCAATGATGTAATTGAATAGAACTAGAGATAAGACACGTCCGCCATACTCGTGAGGGGGTGAAGGTCGCAGGACTTGTTTCACGTGGCATCATGACAGGATAATTCGTTCAATGAGATCAAAGGGGGAACAGATGTCTATGAAGCATGCAGTAGGTGACTGTTCGAACTAGAATTGATGCTTGAATAGATAAAACTATCCCTTTCTTCATAAATCAACGGCTTTCGTGCAACAGTGGAAATTCGGTCAGACAGAAATATCACGAGTACTTCGGCCGATGTGATGAGCCTGAAACATAGGTCACCACAGGTCAATTTTTCCCCTTTTTTCTGGGACGACAGCAGAACCTAGGCAGATGGCAATACTTAGGTTTATAAGAGAGCAGAAAACCTTAAATAACGGCTTGGGTAATCAGTGTGTATTCTTCATCTACCAAGCTGCTTCCGGGGATTTTTCATCTTTCAGAGAAACATTTGACTGAAGGAGTTCCTTCTGTCAAGGTGCCCCTATAACCTGGGAAGGGCATCTGAACCATTGAATTCAAATGGGGCCTCCACAGTTAACTACTTAGGTCTAGGCAACTGGATGGAATCATTTCCAGTATATGACAGTAGATAGTGATTTTATAACTCGCAACAAACCACATAAACTATACATGCAGCGGCATTCCAAATATCGTGCTGGTTAGGCTTCTGTGCTGCAAAGATCCTCAGCAATGTACTGGCTGGAACTCAGTTTCCAAAGGTTCGGGCATGTCAGGAAGGCCAAGGGGAGCAGCCCGACGAACATCGAGTTCCGGTACGGCAAGGAATCGTATTACGAAGCGGTCTGGAGGTAAAGTCGTACTGTTCCGTGTGATACGGGTGTGAAGGCGGTAAGGTGTCCCCCAGGGAACTGAAACACCCATATTTATAGGAGCATCGATGCTGCGTTCCCCCAGGAAAGGACGGGTTAGAAAAGAGCGGCTCTAGAAACCGCATACTCCGAAGGCCCAACTGTTGACCGTGATCGCCGGCGCATTATTCAATAAGGCCGAGATTTTAAACCCAAGAAGCCCGGTGCGCTCAAGAGACACCTGTGCTGTGCGCCGCTGTACTAGAAGCGGGACAGCAATAGGTTGCTCCCTGAGTCCTGCAGCGATGAGTCGGACGAAACTCGAGTGCAGCGCTTCTTTCCATTACCACAAGCCTATCGGAATGATTGCAATAGAATAGGAATAAAACCGTCCAAACGAGTGATATTGACTGAAAGAAAAGATTAACAGTAGATTTTTGACCCTAAATCAGCCTTTACAGTAGCGGTGAAGTTAGGCGGGCGAATCAGCGTGGGGTTATCTACATCAAGTAATGCTCTTGTCTTGACCACAAGCAGCGTCCAGAGCATAATTTCATTTATTTTTTCGTTATCCTTGAGCCGCGTCCAGGTGGATGCTAGCGAGTAGGTGACACAGTATTGATGCATCAGTCCAATGCGTGCCGTACACCGTCACCAAGCCTGGCAGCCGACCGTGAGCTACACCACATTCACAACTGGCAGAACGGATTAGGCTAGGTAAGCTTGTAATAAGTCAGTACCGCCTCATCTCGTCTGGTACATGACTAAAGCATGATTAGCTGGTGTGCCCAAATCCCTCACCTTGAAACTAGACCTGCAAGCGGCCCATTATTTAACCAATCACGTGCGAATTAGGCTCCTTGAGGTGTTCAGTATTCGCACAATGGGATAGAATTTTTGAAAGCTATGACGTGTCCCTGGTGTAATGAAGCAATCAAGCAATCCATTTAAGGGTACCAGGTCCAACGTTTGGGCCCTATTTGGGCCTCAGAGTCTCAGCGATGCTGGGAAATTATTCTACTAGACATTTTCGCCAGAAGTATGATTGCTTCCGTGGT